CGTAGTGAGACGAAGAGATTGATATATTGTACGCTCAAAACGGATAATGGGATATATTGAATGAGATATTGATTCTCAAAGTAGACCCATTTGAGTTGGAAAATGAAGGGAAAAAGTGAGCTTTTGTCCCACATTGCTTTGGAATGAAGATTTTCCCCGCTTATATACAAGAGCTCTTTTGAAGCTTGTAGAATTGTATAGCATAGAGGTTCTCTCGCGCGAGGTGGGGGGTGCAAATCAAATTCCAACTAGCAGAGATTGAAAAAGGTTTGATTCAAGCCCGAGCTCGTGTGCGCGCCGAAACTGGAGGTTTCGGGCCACACGAACCTGTGTAGTCTTGTGACCGTTGGGTGTTCAATTCTTCTGTTACGGAATTAATTTTTTGAGTTAATTCCAATTTTTTGGCCTGGTGGTCGAAACTGGAGGTTTCGGCCCACACGAACCTGTGCAGTCTTGTGACCGTTGGGTGTTCAATTCTTCTGTTACGGAATTAATTTTTTGAGTTAATTCCAATTTTTAATTTTCGAATTGAAACCCAGGTTTAAGGCTACTGTTACAAGAAGATGGAGGAGTGCTCTTAAGTGCCTATTAAAAGCTATTAAATCCTTTACCCCTATATAAAGAGGAGTTGGGCAGTAGAGTTTTACACACAGAAATAGAACACGAAAGTTGTTTTTTTTAGCCTCAAAACATCTCTGCTTCTACTCCTTCTTTAGCCTCCTGTGTTCATAGTCGTGTCTTGCTCGCCGGATTCCTTGTTTGAGTGCTCAAACATTGAATCACTAGCAAGTTTTATCATGGGAAGCCTAGGCCACAACGCTCCTAGCATCTTTGGGAGGTGGCAAATAAGGTTTTAAGGAAAGAGTGCTCACTTGACTCTTGCAAAAACCCAACACCAAACACTAGCCATTTTTCTTCATCTTTTCTTCCCTTCTTTCCAGAAAATAATAGTCAATTTTATTTGATTATTATTTGTTTTCCTACCAACGGTTCCTACAATAAATATATATATATATATATATATATATATATATATATATATATATATATATATATATATATATATATATATATATATACACACACGTATAGAATTAAAATTAACATGACCTAGTCTACCATGCCACAAATTGGAAGACTCAAGCATGTAAACAGAAGTAATTTTGCTTTTATTCATGATAATAGGGGCATTACACTGAGCTTAAAAAGCCCATCAATTACATAACCTTTACCTAAAAACATTCCTAACTTTGACAAAACTACTTTGTCTGACTCGAACACCATGCGAAATACATGCTTGTTCAACAACAAGCCAGACACCAGATTCTTCCCAGCTCCGGAACATACAACATGTTGTTCAACGTCAATTCCTTCTCGAAAGTCGTCTTCAGAACCACCTTGCCCACGCCTTCCACAACAGACTGAGTAGAGTTTCCCATCCACACCTTCTCGCCCTCAACGGTCTCAGAGGTGCTGAACATCTCTCGGTTGCAACACAAATGCCATGTTGCACCGATATCGAAGAACCACTCACGCTAGTTAGAACCCACGAGGTTCACCTCAGTCACCATGGACAAAAGGCTGATCTCGGCCTCCTTCTGACTGCTCTCTCCAACAACGTTGACTTCAGAACTCTTGTTCTTCTTCCTTGGAGCCTTGCATTCAAAAGACTTGTGGTCAGGCTTGCCACAATTGAAGCATTTACCATGAAACTTAGTCTTGGTAACGCCTCCATTCGGACCAAGCTTCTGCTTGTCCTTTTTATTCTTCTTGGGGCTTTTACCGTGCTGCACAGCGTTTCCCTTAGCGCCACCAATGACAGGACCTTTCCCATCATTCTTCCCGTTCCCCTCATCAATTTTGAGTCGTTGGATCAGGTTCTCCATGTTCATTTCCTCTTGTGCTTAAGGTAATTCTTGAAGTCCTTCCATCCTGGAGGCAACAAGTGGATAACAGATGCCACTTGGAAGGCTTTACTCACCACCATGCCATCGTCACGAATCTCATCAAAGATTAGTTGTAAATCTTCAACCTGACTTAGCACGGTCTTGAAATCAACCATCTTGAAGTCAAGGAATCGACTGACTACAAATTTCCTTGAGCCTACATCCTCGCTTCTATAGTTATGATCCAAGGGTTCCCACAGTGCTTTCGTTGTTCCAATCTTGTGATACACATCGTACAATGTATCACACAATCCATTCAAGATGTAGTTACGGCATAGGAAGTCCGAATCCTTCCAAATGCCTACCGCCATCACAGATTTGGCATCTTGTTCCTTCAAATCAGGAACCTTCCCGGTAAAGAACCGTGCCAAGTCGAGAGTTACTAGATAGAACATCATCTTTTGTTGCCGCCTCTTGAAGTTTGATCTGATGCCGGTGAACTTCTACGACTTTTCAGCCGAACCACTTGGTACCGTAGCTACCAGCATCGTGGGGATGTACCCCTCGGTGCTCCCACCGTCTTTTGAACCTACGTTCGTTGGTGGTGCCTGGGAATGTGCAACGTTGTTACCATTCCCACCATTGTTGTTCTCACCAACATTTACCTCCCCATGAACTAGTAGTACAGGGTTCTCCATTTCTTTAAGGAAATTAGAGAAAAACACAGAAAGGATAGATAAGGTTTTAAGCTTGTTGGTGGATATATACAAAAATAATAATAATTATATGGAAAATGATTATTATTTCTGGAAAAAAACAAGGAAGGATGAAAGGATATGGTGGGTAAGTGGTTAGCACGAGTCGAGCTATTCACTCTTTCTTTAAAACCTTATTTGTCGTCTCCCAAAGGTGCACAGAGCATTACGTCCTAGGTTTCCCAGGATAAAACGTACTACGATTCCAAGTTTGAGCACTCAAACAATGGAATCTGACGAACTAGAGCGTAGGAAGAACACAGATGGCTAAGAAAGGAGTAGAAGCAGAGTTTCGAGAGAGAATGATGATTTTTGTAGTGTGTAAAAATCTGCTTCTCAACAACAACTTATATAAGAATTCAATGGCACTAAACAATGACATTAAAAACTGATATTAAATCAATCAAAAAAGCCCATGTAACAGTTGACCATTAACATGAGAATTAATTCGAATTGTTGTCCGGCGATTCAATGGGATTCTAGCAACATCTTCGGGATTAATCGCAATTCTTTTCCTTCCAAAATTACATGACAAGTTTAAAGAAATATCAACCGGAACACCATTTGCAACACAAGCAATCCATTTTTCCATATTCTACTAACAGTTCTTGTAGAAATAAAGTACATATTTGCAACATCTTAAACTGAACCATATTTTACTTTTTCATTCACACTGTGTTTCAAAAATAACACTTCTCTTATCCTTAGAACATCTCGTGCTTAAGTGTACATCATTAGAACTCTCCTCTTGTATAAACTCCATTACTAGACAAGAACTTTTTTTTTACTCCGTAATACAGAAAACTTGTGAAGTACTCTGAGAAACAAATCAAAAAAAAAAAAAAAACAAATCTTCCTAGAAACATACTATATATAGTGAGTACTAAGTATTCTTTTTATCATAAGGTAACCAAAATATAGTATTTTAATCTGTAAATGTCATATCAAAAATTGGCAGAAAATTTTCCTGCGATTATTTCTCAATTTTGGTGATCCTATTACATGAGTTTACATCTATATAGACAGAAATTACTGAATAATTTTTCTTTGAGAAGTATAGAGTATAAAAAAAATTGCTCTGTATAATCATCAAAATTGAGTATAAAAAATAGTAAAAAAAGAGATTCAAAATTACATAATTTTTTTTCATGCTCTGTATTTCAATTTGTAGGATTTGAGATTCAATCAAATTTAAAAAAAAAAAAAAAAAAAAAAAAAAAAAAAAAAAAAAACCTAGATTGAAAGATAACGAAGAATAATTTTTCTAAAGTTTTAATCTTAAAATCACAATTTGTAGAAAAACTTCATAGATTGAGTGCAGAACACTAATCTTGGTATCACTTTTTAAAATTGATTAAAAATTGCAAAATCATGCTCCAATTTCATAAAAACTCCATATGCATGTGTTGAAATCTCTATGAAATTAAGCGATGCATATCTTCAATATCTTCCCGTATGAGTATGGCGATGTAGATCTCAATTGAGCAACAGCACATGAAGACTTTGAGTGGCTGGAGAAAAAAAATTGGGACTTTGAGTGGCTGGAGAAAATTTAGAACCAGAGAGGTAGAGAAATATAGAGTAAGAACGAAAGAGAAAGAGAGAAGAAGAAAAAGTGTACGGTGTGTTCTAGGCTTCTAGCTAGTGGGCTGAGTGGCTGGTGAGAAAAAAAAGATGGGCAAAAGTGGAAGACAAATTACTTTTAGTTTGCTACCTTAAAATTCGTGCAAAATGAAAAGAAGACAAGGAATACGGGACTGAGGGAATATCTTATTAGTCTGTAAGTCCATGCACCTATACCCCCGAAAAAACTCAGGATAACCTAAGAAGACACAAGGATATGATCTGTAAGACATTTTATGACGATTGTAAAGTCACAAGTGAGGATAACATAAACAACCAAAGACACGAAGAAAGGAATAGGACGGTGGAGATTTATGCAACACAAGATGGGGACTAAAATTATTCAAGACACTGGATGACATTCTATTGATAAGATAAACAGCAATTTCAAAAGCAAAATCTCAAAACCGAGATGGAACAGAAGCATGAGGCATAAAACTTAGCCCAGTTTCAACAATATGTCTATGTTTTCTTTCCACATGGTCATTTTGCTCATGAATGTAAGCACAGGGCTGTCTATGATTAATGCCAAGTTGCAAAAATGTGGAATGTAATTGTTTGTACTCAGCACCTAAATAAAACTGAATGGATTTTATTTTACAAGAAAATGAACGCTCAACCATAACACGAAGGTGATCAAAAATAGCATAGAGATCATATTTTAATCGCATGAGAAAGTACCAAGTGTAACGAGATTAATCATCAACAAAAATAACAAAGTAACGATATCCACTGGAAGAAAAAATAGGGACAGGTCCCCAAATATCTGTATAAACTAAATCTAGAATATCTGAACTAGTAGACTCAACACGCGGCAAAGGAAAATGTGCAGGTATCCCCAATTGACACGCAGAATATAAAATAGAATTACAACGAATAGAACTACTAGACCCACTAACCGAACAAGATTGAAAGACACGACTAAAAAGTAAAAACGCACTGATGTGGATGACCCAGACGATCGTGCTAGACTGAAGCAGAAGCACGAGCAGAGATAAACGCAGAAGGCAAAATAGGTAACGTGTATAAGCCACCAGAACTATTGCCATGGAGTAGGACCGCTTTAATTTGGTGTTGATATCCTTCACAACAAAAAAAAAAAAAAAAAAAAAAAAAAAAAAAAAAAAAAAAAAAAGACGGGTGAAACTCAAATAACACTTTATTATTTGATGCAAAATGTTGAACAGACAAGAAAGATGTAGACAAATTAGGAACATGCAGAATATTAGATAACTGAAACGACCTAGACGAGGTATTAAAGGAAGCATGACCAATACAACTAATAGATAAACTCATAACATCACCAACACAAAGTGTGGCGTTACCATTATACTTCTCAGAGGTAGAAAGTGCAGCTATATCTGGAGTGGCATGATTGGTTGCCCCAGCGTCAGGGAACAAAGTATGTGAACCAGGATTAACATCAGAAACACCATCCTTAGGTTAAATGAGCTTGAGGAGTTGCATCACTGAATAGCGACTGTAATACGTGACAGCTATGTGCCCTACAATACCACATATTTGACACTAAGGTTGCCACCCGTTACCGCTACGACCACGTTGTCCCCGGCCACCTCCACCGCAACGATTACTATTCTATTTGCCACCACCGTGCTAAGCACCGCTGTCGTCGCCACGATTCTGCCCGCCACTCCTATTCTGACCGCCACCACGACCAGAACGACGAGATTGTCCTCCTCGCTAGGCAGTGAGAGCCGCCGGGTGCTGCATGGAACCTCCATAGTCGTCGCCGGCGATGAACTCTTGGGCGCCTAGGAAGTCGGCGAGTTCTTGAAGGGAAACCAGCTGACCACGAACGGCGAGTGAACACATATAGGTTTTGTTTGTCGAGAGATACTGGCAAATAGGCGAATGCAAGATCTTCGATCACCACCTGTGCATGCTCGATATAATCTGCAACCGAAGAGTCGCCTTACCTGAGTGACTGAAGCTGCCCGAGAAGGTGGAGCGAGCGAGCGAGGACGAAGCAAGACACTGTTCGACGGCGACCCATACGTCTCTGGATGTTCGGCGACCTACAGCGAGATACATGACCTTCGATGAGAAGGAAGAGATCAACATCGATAATAGAGCTTGGTTGTGGCAGATCCAAGCCGTGTAAGCTGGATTGGGCTGAGGAGCAGCGTTGTCGTCGCTGGAAACGATGGTAGCCGGCGAACATGGATTCGTGCCTTCGATAAACCCCATTAGGTCATGTCCTCGTAGAAACGAAACGACCCGAGTTCTCCAAAATAAAAAAATTTTGTTGGTTAATTTGATGCTGATAAAGTGGTGGGCGGTGGAAAAAGAATTTACGGCCTTAGAGACCAAAGAAACAATAACAACATCTGAGACGGTCCGTTCAGAGGAATTAACAGATGCGTCAATAACATAATTATGATCCGTCATGGAACAAAACCTAGCTAACTCATACTAGATGAGAACTGAAAGTATTGTATATTATTGAATAATCACAAAGTTACAAAATACCGGGAATATATACAATGAAGGAATCACATGGAGACTATGATAGACAATCATAACTTGACTTAAATACATAGAGTCCTAATAGTATACCCTCAAATAATGAATGTGTGTGTTTCTCTCACCAAAAAATTGTAAAGATTAAGTGATAAAATCACGAGGAGAAAAGGGTCAGCCCGGTGCAAACGGGATTAATCTGAGTATGGTACGGGTTTAAAGATGTCTCCTAGAGTTAGGGTCTGCTCAGTACACCTCGTGGTCTAATCCAAATCACAAGGAGAAGTATTTTTTTTTTTTCATAATATTTTAAATTATTAGAAAAATAACATTCCTAACTACTCCATATAAATAAAGCATTAATTTCATGTTTGTGGAATTGCGGTTGTACAAAATTAGTTAACAGCTGTAGAAATTGTCGGAATACTTGTTTTCATTTTCCAAAGCGCTACAGAAATTGTGATGGTGGGATGAAGCAGTGAAATTGAGATGGAGCTTTGACACATGTGGATCCACCAATCAACATCACAAGCTGCAACGTGTACCATATCCATTTTTATTCCCTAAACCCCTTTTTTTTTCTTTTTCTTTTTCTTACAATTAATCTCCTTCCACAATAATATATTGCATGATTTAAGTAGGAGAATTTTGATTTTTTTTTTAAAAAGTTACATAGTTTTCTTAAATTTTTCTTCTTAATGTTTAATTCATGATATGAAACTGTTTAATTGGATTTTTTTTATTTGATTATTAAGTATATTTTTTTTTTATTTGATTATTAAGTATATTTTTTAACTCATGATTAGATCAACTAATTTATTGATATTTAATGAAAATAAAAAATTATTATCACATTATAAGGTAAACTTAGAGCATCCCAAGGGATGAATTTTTTGTTAATAGGAGAAGAAGTTTTTTTGGATATTTTTATCCTGCAATAATAATTTTTTGTGGGTCTCATTAAATAGAAATAAATTGATAAGAGCAACCTGCAGGTGTGCTTTCAAAAGAAAAAAAAAAAAAAAAAACTGCAGGTGTCGGTTAGGTGTGTAAATATTTGTTTTTTTTTTTTTTTCAAAAATTTTTTTCCTCTCCCCTCTTTCATCTCTTTCCTATTTGTCACAGCAAAAATCACTAGAAATCTCTTATTATTGAGGACGCTCTTAGAAAATAAACTAAAACGGCAAATAGCATATATAATTCTTTTTGTAATTAGGATGTCGAATTTTACTTGTATAAATAAAGCAACAAATTAAAGGGTTTCTAAATTTAAAATTGAGATGAATTCGGCTTCGAATGAATCAAAATTCAATATTTGTCTCCACAATCATAATACTATGCCATCAAAATTATGGTCGTTGGCTACATAGGGCATTGGTGTAAAGCAACAATTATGGTGGTGCATAAAAGTGTAGAGTTTAATGGTGTGACATGAATAAAATTAATCTTGATAGTCCGACACTATAAAAAATCTCAAAATTTTAATTCTGTTAAAAGTAAATTAGACAGGGCATTAGACAAAGACTAGAGAGGGAAGACTGATCTCTATTCACCATTTACCATTACAACAATATATATCTCTATATACAACATAAAGGTAATAATGAATAATGAACACACATAAATGTGAATAATTGTTACAACGGTTACAATTGGATAATAATGTCCACCATGATGATTTGTTTATAACACTCCCCCTTGGACATTATTTGTCCACAATCTTGCTTTGATAAATACTTGCTAGGAAAACCCTGTGGGAAAAACCTAGACAAAAGAGTATATATATATTCATGCCTCGTTAAAAACTTCACTAGGAAAACCACGTGGGAAAAACCTAGTTGAAGAAAAGAGTACATGATATATGTAAAAACATATATTGTATTTGGTCGCCTCATTAAAAACCTTAACTTAAGAAAACCCTGTGGGAAAAACTTAGTTAAGGGAAAAAGAGTACAACCATAAGCATTCAGGGCGCAAACTGCATAATCTTCAGGATTTTGGGGTTTGTCCATTTAAGCAATTATTTTGTAACTTTTCCCCATTTACATTCATATATCATACTCATGCCTCGTTAAAAACCACACTAGAAAACCCAATGGGAGAAAACTAGTGAGGAAAAGAGTACATGATATTTATGCATTTATGTGTTGCAAATAATGCGCAACCGTTAGTCTTTTATAACTTAATCTTCAGGATTTTACGTTCACTCTTCCGGATTGATTCAAGTAAATGTACTTCCCGTTGTGTTGCAAATAGTGCGCAACTGTTAGTGTTTTATGACTTAATCTTCAGGATTTTACGTTCAATCTTCCGGATTGATTCGAGTAAATGTACTTCCCATCTCCCCCTGAAGATAACAATCTTCGAGTTCTACATATATTTCAAAATTTGAAGGGATGGATTGGACAAATCTTCTGGATTGTCACTAGAGTAGTGTACAATAATCTTATGGCTCTTCTATAGCTCATATAACATTCGTGCAACACAAGTGTTATTGTCCTCATTTTGAACATTTAGAGAAATTCATTGTATAACCAGTTTGGACTTGGTATTGCGGGGATCAAACAAAACAGCCAATACCCAAGTAGCCTATTAAAACCATATCATGGTTTCTTACATAAATGTCATGTCTTTGTATCTCGAAGATACCGGAGGATATGTTAATCATTATTCAGGTACTCCATTTGTAGGGGGAGCACTAGATTTTGCTAGCAATTTCATCGCAAATATGTTGCGATTATAGAACTTCTGGTTCTATAATGGTGCTCCAACGATAATGAAGTAAGGGACTTCGAGTCCAAAAAGGTTCCTTATCTGCTTCAAGAGATTATTAGGCAACATTTAGTTTGATAAAAACATGACACTTATATGCATATAGACATGTGAAAAAACATTTTTAGATGTAAGCTGACTGGTGTATATATAAAAAATATCTTCAAAGAAAAACTCGATCTTCAAGTCGAGATAATATTTATAGCTTTCACAAGCTTTTTATTTCAAAAAGTCTCAGTCTTTAAACATGAACTGACATTATCAAGCTCTTTATATATTTCATTGATGTTTACACCATCAATCTTGACTGAGATAATAAATAATAAATAAGTTCATTATCAACCCTTTATCGAGCACACAATGGTACATATTATTCCTTCAATGAGGATATTAACTCCATTCGCAACCCTTTAAAGAGTAAATAATGACACATAATAATACTTAAATAAATTCTCATTTCGAGAATTATGAATCCATCCAGGATTTCTCAAAATAAATTTAACTGCATATCTAAATTTGTTATTCTGCCAATTGTATTATGTAGCGGAACTTAATGCAATTTACCGTGGGAGAGTATATTTGATTAAAATCAATTAAGGGTCTCTGCGTGAACCCATAGGCTACAAACTCGCTTCATCACCTCATTATTCTTATTTCTCTTTCATGCACACACCTATTTGTAACCTTCAGGGTTAACGCTCAAATGGTGTATTGTAACCTATTTGTAACCTTCAGGGTTAACGCTCAAATGGTGTATTGTTATAAAGAGAATTTATTCATTTTAGCGAGTCGAGCTATGCCTTAATTGCTCCTTTATATATTAAATAGT